TGCATGTATTGCTTAAGGCTGGTTTTCACCAGCGACAGGGTCGGAGTCGTAGTCGGAATCGCAAGAGCACTTCCAACCGAGTGAAACTGAAAATCGTAGTCGTAAGCGGAGTCATAAGCTCAACGGAATCGGAGCTCGGAATTGGGTTTGGAGGAATCATAACGGTTTCATTTTCTTCCGATCTAGCCTTTGACACTAATGCCTATGATCAGTGAAAACTTGATTGTTGGAGTTGAAGGCAGAAGCAGAAGATCGAACCGGCTTGATTTCAACTTGATCGTGTTACTCTGCACTGCTCAATAACGACTTCGACTTCGACTCCGTGATAAATGAAAACCAGCCTTTAGATTATGCCTTATTATTAGTCGTTAATCTTCCCACAAAGGAAATTGATGTTGAAGTGAAAAAATTATATCTAAATCGCCCGTCACAGTTTAAGGATCAGTCATAACAAATGTTTTGTTGCCCCCTCCACTTACATTCCACAGAGCACCATAACCTAAACCAGCATATATTAAAATAGGTCTTAGTAGACCTGATGGCCGTAAATAAGTTTAAAAGATGGGTAGGCAGCCAGGTCATCACGGACGCGTAAGACCGGGATCTATTCAATTTCACGGGCGTCCTTGGAATACTGCACAACTTTAACGCAACTTGTGAACTGGGAATAGGTTCATACATCTTATACCGAATTCACATGAGCAAAACATGTTCAGTTATACTTAACTTAATCTAATTCGTTGCGAACGTATATACAAGAAAAATTAAATAAATGAACTCAAATTTAACTTTAATAAAAAGATGAGTATTTTCAATAGAAATAAGTTTAAAATCTATAGCCCTCCCATTCCTATTTATATGAACTTACACTCCGCTGCTTAGAGATTTATAAAAAGAAAAGTTTTTGAATTATAAAATGCTAAAAGTATTCATTTAAATGTGTGAATTGAATTTATACTTTTAGTATCCGTTGACAATTTGTTCTAAGCAAGGATAGACCCTTAGTAAAAGAAATATTTTTAAAAAGTTTCAACCGATTCATCCGGCTGGTGACCATAAGTTTTCTGCACTTCTTGTTTTTCAAATTACAGGTTTGCATTTCGCAAACTACAGATTTCCATCTCGGAAATTACAGATTTTCATGTCGAAAGTTTCAGATTTTAAGTTCATTTCACAAATTACAGACTTCAATTTCGTTTCTTTTCGCAAACTATGAGTCCCCGTTACGAATCAGCGAGACAAAGTACAACGGTTAAATGATGACATCAAAACAACTGAGGCAAGGCTGCGTGGGGACACAGAACGAGAGCTGTGGGATGTTAGAAAAGTGGTACGTCAGAGCAATCAAAACTTTTGGTGCTGGAAATTTTCCTTCACTTGTTTGTTATGTCTCCTCTAACAGTTTTCTGCGGTCTTTGGCAGAAGATGGTACCTATATCTGCTTCATTGCCGCAACTTTCTTGTTTAAGTAAAACAGTTCTGCTTTTTTTCCCTATGCAACGTCACTTAGCTGAATGCCTCAAATAATTTTTCACTCTCCCACGCTGAATTTCGAGAAATTTTCTTCTATTTACACCACCAAGGCACTTAATTGACCTTAATTCTTTAAAAGGCCAAAAAATCGTTTCTCCTTTTATTTGACTAAACTGACTTTAAACATTTTACCTAACGTTTAAGAGAAAAAAAAGCTTTAGAATTTCCAAAAGCACCGGATTTATTAAGAAAAACGTAATTTCAAATAAAAGTTAATCAATCAGGAAGGAGTCATAATCTGTACCTGGGCGACTCCCCTGGGGGAGTTTTCGCGGCATGCGCTCATCTTGGGCTCGTTTTTTATGTTATCTGCATATTTTGCGCACATCGCGCTCTTGAGAAAATTCAGACGTGGGAGCTATTTGCTTTTGGAAAATATATTATCATGGAAATGTCAAAAGCAGAATAAAGTTCTTTATGTGAGGAAAAACCAACAAAAAAAGGCCCTAAGAGGAATGGAAGAGTACTATTCTGTCCCGAAAAGAAAAAATCTTTGGCGAAGCTCCACGCTGGCCTCCAGATTTTGAACAAAGGAGTCGCGTCGCTACCAAGTTTGTCATAGGTGAAGTTAAAAACAAGGCTTCCTATCATTTATGCAAACCATCGCCTCGAATAGTAATTTTGAAAGCTGTTTGTTGATTCGTTGTCTTGCTTCTCAGCTTATTTTCCAGTTTTTCCATTTAGCGCGCGTTTTTTCTTTGCCTTCGGCAACCTTGCCCATTATTGTGCTGCCCTCATCAACGCCCAATGAGCGATCGATAAGACAAAACAAAAAAAAAACTGCCCACCACGGGTTACTTTTCGCGGGAAATCTTGATCCATCGTCCCGTCCCGTTGTCCTATCGGTTTGCGGTTTCAGGAGGCGAGATAATCTCCTAGCGCGGCGCGAGTTGTTTATGAACCCTTAGCTAAAAGCTCGCATTTGATTTTGGGAGGAATACATCCACTTTGAGCGAATTTATATGGTATTTAGATTTGACCGATTTTCGTCAATTTCAGCCGCAACATTTCAGGAATAATGACAGACGAAAGTGCGTCGGATAATTTTTGTCTCGAGGCTTCCATTTACGCCACACGTCTTGCATATTTTAGCTACTCCAATTTTAGATGCCGTTATTCAGACAACCAGCACTTTAAGCAAAATGAGGTGAAAGCATCCATCAAAAGATGGCAGACCAGCCCGCTGTTTGGTAAAATTTCCGCATAGCCCTATTCTATTGTTAAACAAATCTGTTTTCCCAAAGGTAATGTATTGTTTTTGTCGGTGTTTTCTCTATCCAAGAACTGAATGCATAATGTAGTATGGTGCTGTGCGGAAATTTTACCCGCACTTTTTTTTTTTCCTGTTAACAGCCCTGAAAGACATGCAATATTTGCAGCATGATTAAGGTTCTTGTATCTCCATTTTCATGTCGTTGTACTAATTTACTTTCAAACAAAATTTCAGGTCATAATCAATATTCACGGTTAACTCGCAAATATCCAGCTCTACCCTGAGCATGAAAGATTTCATTGTAGAAAAGTGCTGATGTTTAGACCTAGTGTTTTCAAACCTGGAGAGCTGTCTTGTTCACGCGCACGATCTCGATCTGTCTTCCCGTGAGGGACCTTCCTATCTGAAAAAGAACACAAAGGAAAATATTATTTGTCTTCCCCGAACGCTTCAGCGATCAGTTCATTTTCCGAATTTATCAGTTGAAGTTTAAGTTAAACAAGCCACAATACAAATGAAAAAATCATTTTTCATTTTTCTTTGCACACCTTAATCTCTAATAAGCTTCATCCCGTGATAATTTATGCCTTACATGACAATCTTACGTTCAAAAAGAATTTAGCAGCGGCTTAATTTGAATAGACGTAAGTATAAAAAGGGAAAATCCCAGCTGAAAGCGACCGGGGTCAGAGGGAATTTCCCTTCATTATGTGAAAATGAAAATAAAACTCATGACTTGGATTTCACGCGATCAATATTCCAGTGACAGAAAGAGGGATGCCCTCTGGTGCCACTTACCAATTACTACTACAGTAAACGTGGTAAAATATTTTTAAAACCGAGGTAATATGTAAACTCTTCAATATGAGTCAATGTAACTGAACAAACGGTTAAATCAAATTACGAACGTCTACACAATGTGAAACACACTTACCTGCGTTAGACATGTATAACAGCCGGTACGAAAGAGACAAAAGCGGTAGATTTATAAAGACAAGCAACCTACGGAAATATTACAACCGCTTGATCAACATAACACACCTTGCGTCCTCCAGTTCACGACACGCTTAATGTGTTCTGAAAATTATTCACATGCAAGCATAACGAGCTCCCGAGCCGAATATTTCACGAGTACGTCTCTTTCCAAAGGTTTTGACAACAGTTTGAGCGCTCTGATGTTTCTCATCGAGATTTCAGAAAACGAAAGGTAATGTCCTCGCACTGGAATATTTATCCAACATCCTGAACTCTTACGTTATCTTCAGTCTCCATTAAAACTGATCCTGCTTCGCTTTTGGTATGTATTAGAATTAAATACGACTGTATTAACGATGGTAGTTATACCGAAGCAGATTGTTCGGGGCATCTCTGCAATCGAGGGTACTGTAAACAACGACTGTCATCAAAATAGCTTCTAATCCGCTGCACTTAGTCTTACCTGGAACACAGAGGTAGGGATTGAATCAAATTGAATCTAGCTGTTACTCGAGTCTCTTAGGAAAATTCCCCCACAGTTTGAGTTCCTTTCTCTTGGCTGCAGTTTAAAACTAAACGATTTTTATATAACTGTAGAGAACTTTTACAAACGAGAAATTCGACGACGAGAGAGGCGGAAGACAAAGACGACTTAATAATTAATCGCTTTCTTTGGGTCCTTGAATTTGAATATTCAATCGAGACCTTCACTTAATTAAAATAATCACACGACCTTGACAACGGATATCAACTTTCCTAACCGTCACGCGATCACTTTTTAAGGTCTTTACCTCACTTTACGGTTACAGTCATGCGACCCCTATATTTATTCAGTGGGTAAATTTGATTCCGTGAGGTTATCTTGGTTAGATCGTGGTCATTTTCATGATTGTCCGAAGATAAGTTGAACGGACTGATTTTCCCCCAAAAAAGAAACCTGTTTGAGACTAGAAGTCAGTAGATTACAGACAAGCAAAGAACCGGGCGAGTTAAATCGGTGATCATGATTTCGTGATCCCACGGCAGCTCTTTCGCTCATCTTCATTACCCGAGAGCGTGACAAAAATTACAGGTAATAAATAGTGGGGCAGGGGCACTTATAAGCAGCAGTTTACAGTATTTACATATCTACAAACAAAACTGGTTCATAAAACTGAAGTTCAGACTTTTCTTTGGAAGTTTAACTTTGCTCTTCGATCATTAAAATTTCCATGTCTACGTCACAGCACTGACTGGAGGCTTTTCCAACTGTGGTATTATAAAAACAAGAAAAGCTGGAGTAGGGCTTTTATCAGGAGGGGATTGTAATTGAATGATTTTTCTGTTTGTTTGTTTAAAGGTAGATGGGCCTTTAACCTCGGGAACTTAAAAATGAGGGGGGGGAGGGGGAAAGGGGGCACTTATAAGTGCAGTTTACAGTATTTGTTTATTTCCAGACAGAGTCTTAATGTAGAAGCTTGGGTGTCCTGTGGTGAATTGGGCACATGAGTTGAACTACCCAGCACATTGGCTTCTATTTCAGTTTTAATTTCACTTTATTAAAAGCTGGAAATGTTCACAGGAAATAACATTACCACATTTGGGGAGACTAAAAATGGAATTATAAAATGGTCACCATTTTAGAATAAGCTTAATTCATCAATTCTACAATGATGTTAGCTTTTCCAAGTACCTGAAAAAACAAAACAAATAGAAAAACTATAAAAATGGTAGCATTCAAAATGAGCACAGGGACTTCCAATTCATTCCTTTAAAGTTTCCACAAGCGTAAATGTCTCCTTCCGACATTTTTTTCCTAGACAAAAAGTGAGTGGGTCCCTGTGACATCTTCTGTTTCTGAACTTTTCTGCAATAGGTGCAGTTGTTCTCTCTTTTCAAGTCTTTACACTTTAATTTTCTTGCCTGCAACAAAAATACATGATCAAACAAGAGGAAATCTTCAGAGACATAAAAATTAAAATAGTACATAATGTATCTTTTATTGACAAGAATCCCTATTTAAACAACATCTTGTCACAAAGTAAACAAAAAGACCGGGCACACCAGGTGTTCTATAATTTGAACAATAACCTTCTCTAATTCGCAAACCCCAAATAGTGACTAGGAACTAATTCCTCCTTGCAATATCATCCCTAAGTTAAACATGAAGGTCATCAGAATAGAGGAAATGATCACTACAAAAAAAGCTGTTGATTGTTGAGCAAATTCACCTTGTCAGAACTCAGAGAAAAGTATGGAGAATATGCATATATAATGATGTTTGGGTGTATTTAAGGTTAATAATGGACAAAAGGGAATGGATTTGTCTAGATTAAAGATTATACAATATCATTTTGCTTCAACAATTTACTTGGCTGACAGAGTGTTCTTGTAAGAATTGGCATATATGAGCACAGTAGAGCTGATAGAAAATGTATGTAACAGCATAACAGTTACAAGATCATCATCCTCCAAATATGATGAATAGCATCTCTTTTTTTTTCCATTGCTCAATTCTACAAATCTAATTTAATCACACAATCATGTATGTGTAAGGGAAATCCCATGAGCTCAATTGCATCTCTTAATTCAAAGGAATCAGTGATGTTTAGAAAGCTTTGGTAAATGAACCAGTCATTGGAGTGCTGTTTGGAAAAGTTCTCAAAACATATAATGAGTAACTATAAATTACTAAATGTAAGAGCTGTTTAATATGTTTTTATGTATGATGTGTTATAAACAAAACCTCATACAAATACTGCTCTTTGTACATTCCTGGTGCATATTTCTCAAAACATTTTCAACCAGGTGGAAACTGCCTGAAGATAATTATATTGTTTGATCTAACCATTCATTAGAATGCAGATTTAGTGATGGACACATCAAATTTTAATGTATTCTTAAGCTACTAATATATTTGGTGTTGTTTAGTCATCTTTAAAAGCTTTAATTTCAAGCCAGTTTGTCATATGGAAATCCTGCATTGCACCTTATGAGCAATTTTTCAATTCATTCACAACAGACTAATCACAAATGAAATATTTTGTTTCAGTACATAATGATTATTAGATTTTTTTAGATTGGTAGTACTTGAATTTAAGTAGAAAAAGCACTACAATCCTATGTCTAAGTGACTTGCTGTTTTGCTGATTAATGCTAATTAAAATCAGGGCGAAAATAATAAAAAAGGACACCAACAATTTGACAAGAAAAGTTAAACCCCATCCCTCTCTCACTGTAGGACAGTACCCACTGATAAAAGGATGAATCTGATTAATTTGGATTAAAGCTGACTCATTTGAGAGTATAAGAGTTGGTATGAGAGTATATGTTTAAGTAATGTAAGTACTCCAAATTCTTTTGCAATAATTTGTTTAAAATCATGATGCTATTCCTCCCAACTCAAAAGCCATTTTTTTTTACCATACTTGTTCCCTTTGGCTGTCAGTTCAAGGAATGTTTAAGAGTCTTGAGAAAAGAAAACTCATTGTGTGCCTTGAAGCCAGTCTTTAGCTGCTTATGTTTGAAAAAGTTTGAAATGAAACAAACTCTGGACAAGTATAACAAAAAATGTGTTGCATGAAAAGGACAAGACTTTCTTTTTTATCACCCTACTGCCGGAAAGGACACTTTTGTGCCCCCCTTTGACTATCTTGTGACAATAATTGAAGTTTGTGGTTTAAATTTAACATGATATCCAAGCTAATTAATCACAGAAGGAAAAGAAAGCCTGATCAGTCTAACAGAAAACTTACTGCTTGTCCTATAAATGCTTTGAGTGCTTAAAATTCCTTATCACAGGCATGCTTGGTAATGTTGTCTTTCTGGGACACACAGCTTCTATAAAGAAGGGCCTGAAAAAAAAATACAGTCATTAGGAAAATAAGATATCTAAAACAACAACTTGACAAGTAATTTTAGGTGGAGCATTAGAACAATCTCAAGCATATTCTCAGCAATACTTAAAACAAACTGTGTCAGGTTTTCAGTTGAGTGAGTAAACTCTCAGATCTTGGAAGTGAAAGGGCCAAGATTTCAGGTATTTGGTTAAGAGGAGACAATTTGGAACAGATTTGAACACTATAATGATCTGAATCTCCCACAATATAAACAGTAAGCTATTCAAAACAATTTTTCATGATGTTAAAAAAATATTTGAAGGACAATACACATAATAGTCTCCATTTGGTGCAAAAAGAGGAAAGCTGCAATGTAATTTATTATATAAACCTCTCAGGCCTAAGCATTCTTTTCTCTGACAAAAGGCATGGGTTGTCAAAGGCTACCAATTGGGTTGTCATCCATTATATGATGAACAAAAAAAATTAGAACTGTGGGTGACCAAAATTAGAAATTGCTTCAGGACAGATTTATTGGATAATATCTAATCATCAGTGTTAATAACAAGATGCAGGTATGCAGATGAAGGGGAAAATTATAGATGGGAACTGCAGGATGTTGGAGACTTCCTAAGAAAATGTTGAAGAGCTGAAAAAACAACAGCATCATTGGTTCAAGAAAAGATCAATGAAAGAGAAAAAAATGCAAATTTTGTGGTTAGTGGGAATCACAGTCCCTGAGGTGCTCATGATGGCCAAAACTACTTGTAATGGTCCAAACAAAAACACACTCTTTAACATACTTCCAAACAAAACAAAAAAGTGAAGAATCAAAGCAAGGTGAACAATCAAAGCAGTTGCAAAAATAAAATAACAAATAATGAGTTACTTCAGAAATAGACAAACAAGAAAACAAAATAAAGGAGAACAAAGACAATAGAGAATGATTTAATACAAGTTCAAGTATAAGTCAGAACAAATACAATTTACGGCCAAGAACTTATACAAATGACACAAACATGAGTAAATTGAGCAAAAAAAAAAAGAAAGAAACAGACAAGCAAAGAAAGTAACAGACTCAAAAACAAAACAACTTAATAAAAATGCAATGGAAAGAAAAAGTATCTGATTTAAAATAAATTATGTCAATGTGACTTTTGGCGGCAACAGGGATTTCCATTTAATTTTTATAGATTCCTTCTTTTCTTTCATCCTTTAAACCCTAAGAGTGATTAGCATCTAATAATATTTCTCCTTACAATATCACCCCTGAATCATACATTAAGGTCATGAGAATAACAGAAATGATCACCAACAAAAGAATCTTTCGATCAGTAAACAAATTCTCCTTGTCAGCACCTTAGGAATTGTATAAAGAACAGTAAGGAGAATATGCATACTGATGTTAGGGTGTAAAGGGTTAAGTAAGTCATATTGGAGGGCAAAATTGTTATCTTTGCCAAATTTGAAACTCAGAAGAAGACACTTCTTGAACAGTTAAGTAACTCTCTGTGATCCTAAAGTGCAGCAGCACACAAATCTTCCCAGAGATCACTCTACCATTGTGCTTTAACAGCTGACCTACGGCTAGTCTCTGGTTGTACTTTTATCACACTGTGATCATTTGATAAGCTGTAATCCAAAAGAAATATGACATTCATTAAACAACTTTTTGTTTCATTTCAGTGGTGAACCAAAGAATCCATTCTACACTTAATTAATTAAATCATAAGTTGCAATGTGCAGGAGGGTAAATCGAAACAAAACAAAGCAAAACAAGGCAAAAAAATAATAAAAAAGCTGAACATAATTCTCTCCTAAAGAATTCATTTAAGCAGCAACTACATGTAATCGCCATTTTTCCGTGGGAAAAACATATGTTAATCCTTAGAATTATGTACGTTTAATTTAAAATAAACAAACCAAACCTCAAGTGCCTTCAATGTAATTTTTTTGTTATCTAGGTTTCAAATAACTTTCCGATCATTTGTCACGGTTAAGATTAACACGAGCTATGCTCAGAAAGAGAAATGTGAGTATAAACCGGAACAGTCCCTGGCTACAAACCAAAACAGCTACATGTATCAGCATTTCGTAACGAAGTCTTGAACAATCTTGAAGTCACTTTGCTAAAACGTTCTTACTTATGTTAACTACACGTACTACTCAGACGTAGTGAACACAAAGTGTCGACTTAAGTCTTACCTCTGTTTATCATTCCACAAGAGGCTTCGCCAAGCCCGAGATTCTTTCGTAATCTTCTCCGTTGGAGCTCATTTTTTCAGATAAATTTTCAGTTTACTTTCTTCCCAGCATAAATTTTGTTTGGGATTACTTTTTGAAGCAGCTTAGACAGGCTGAACTAGGTAACCAAGCCTTCTGATGACATATTAACAATTCTTCACTCACCTCCCCCGACTGATTGAAGTGCGATTGGAGGTGGACTAGGGAGGGAATATTTTTGTTACTTGCGCGGCAAAAAAAAATAATGAGAAGTTATCTATTAACTTTTGTTTTTGTAATTTTCGCGGGAGAGGATATTACCTTATCTCGCTGCGCTCTGTTCATATACGAATCTTCTGATTTTGGTTAAAATACGATTTCTTCGTTAATTCTAAACACTACTCACGGTCAAATGGAACCAAAGGGAATTTCAGACCCAGGTGTCTTATATGCTCTGCTCTCGGTGACATTGCAGCACAATCGCAAGAAGTGCACCTCATCGAGAATAGGTCTTGAAAATGTTTTCAATGTTATTTTAGCACGTAAAAATAGCGGTAACATTAATATTGACATTGGTCTGGAAGAAATAAAATCCCAGAAGGCAAACAACATTGACCTTTCGTTGAACCACGTAATTGAACCAAGTACTTTTTTATTGAACCACAAAATTCGTCATAAGGGTGGTGATCCGCTTATTTATTCTTGACATTAAGCTTATTTCGACTTTATTTAACAAATAGAGAAGCCTTGACTGTGTTCTGTTCTGTTATAAAGCACGCAGGAAGCGGCTAGAGCACGAAAGAAGTGTAGGGAGAAACACTCGACTACGTCTCGTGTTTCTCCCCACTTCTTGAGTGCTCTAGCCGCTTCCTAAGTGCTTTATAACAGAACAGAGCACAGTCAAGGCTTCTCTATTTGTTTTATAATAAAGAATCCATTAAATTCTCCAAGCATTACTTTCAATTTTCAAAACAAACTTTATTTCCAAAGCGAATAACAGTATCGTCAGCATGCTCTATACTCTCATAAAGCACGCTACAATAAGCCAATCAGAATCCCTGTTAGAATGGTTCAAATAATCTGATTGGCTGTACAAGACTAAAGCTGCCAAAAGTGTCAAACCATCAAAGTTAAAAAACCATCAAAGTTCACATTCTGCGATAGTTTACAAACTGAAATAGTTCGGCAGGTCGAATTTAACACTTTTGCCTTAAGTTTTTAAGTCTCTAATACAGAATCTTGAAGTGAAATGTGCAGTGAAATTCAGCCGAACTATGGCTTATAAAAACACGCGAGTTTATTCACATGACAGGGTAGAAAACAAACTGTTCAAGGCGAGTGATTTTTGAATGAACAACAGCCGAATTCACCGGAACATGAAGATCGCTCGGAATGACAGCTCCGCAAAACTAGGCTTTAGTGAAAGGATATCAGAGCAAGCTCTTATTTTTTCACTCGAAGGGCGGCCGATGTAGATTCTGAGGCTTGTTTTACTGTAATAACGGGAGATCGCCATGATGAGCGAGCCGCGATGGACTTCGGCATGATCATATTCGCTCAGACACCGTCATGATTAGTATGAATTTTAACAGTTATGCCAGTTTGGTTATATTTTTCATCATTTCTGTTTTGTTCTGTTTTGCTTTTGAACACTGAACTTTATATACTATTCGAGTGTTAGCTGTGTTTGATTTTTATTACCGTACGTAAGCTTGCAATCTAACTGAGCGTTTAAATCTTTAAAACTCGGAATGTCTATTTTGTTTTTTCCTTTGAGGATTTTCGTACCTGCTCGCGTTTTAATAACGTAAAATTACAGCGCCTGGTATGTTTACAAACCTTTGTTTGGTTCTTCTGTTGCTACTTGCCCGCTCGCTTGTTCCGAAATTTCACTTCCAATTATCGGAAAAAAGCTAAAAAGAAGTCCCGGAAAAGGTCGAACATAGTACAATTTGGCAGATGGCGTGACAGCTTGAGCTCAGCTCTATGCTCTATACTCTCATAGAGCACGCTCTTTCAACCAATGACAGCGCGCGTTATATCCGAACTTTATTATAAAAAACAATTAGTATCAGTCATATTAAAATACGTATTTGACAACTTGATAGTCTCGTTAGAACGTCATAAGAAGTTGTACCTTTAAGGAAGCCGTACCTTTAAAGAAGGTACGAGTATAAATTATCAGGTTATTTTACTGTTTATTGCGGTAAATTTATATTATCCCCGGAAGCTTTGCACATCTTAGTTATTTGCTCGATTGTTTTTTTTTGACGCTGTTGTGTTGCACATCCATCCCCCAGCCCCACCTTCTAAAAAAATGAATAGTTTCTGGACCATACTGACTTGAAATTTTTCACTTGGTAATTCCTAAATTGACTAATGCCTCACAAAAGAGAAAATTAATTTCATATCATAACTGTGCACCACTTAGGCCTTGCATTAATAAAAAGGTAATTCTGGTATGTTCCACTTATTGCTCTAGGTCAGATGTGTTTGCAGAAAAGGATGGAAAAAATGAATTATTTTTATTATCAATATTATCATTTTCATTATTGCGTTACATGCTCCTGAATAAATTTGAAACTTTACCACTCCCCTTCCCCAAAGTAGCTGCATGTATTCAATACAGGGCCTTGTTAAAAGTCCTCACAGTTTAATTCCTCAAGGCTTGCTGGTTTGGCAGTCAATAGAAAAAGTAATAAAAGAAATACATTCAGTTGGATTTAAATGATTATAATTAAGATTTAAATATCAATTCTAAATCAGCACTGACTCGGGATACAAAAAAAACAAGAAATTGATTGCATTATATTAGGTGGCTTGATGCAAATGGAGTGAAATTCAGTACTTTAACTATATTCGATAGACCTTACTGCAATTTTAAACTCCACCTTGATGGGTTGGTGGGCAGGCGTGACCTTGCAGTATTTGTATCAGAATCCATTATCAAATAATTTTTGTGAAAGTTCTGTTATGATAAATATATCAGCAATATTGCAAACAACTTCAGCAACAGCTGTACAGTTGTGCTTATTAATATGGAGTTAACTTTTAACTGAAGGCTTTTCGAGTCATTAATTTGACTATTTACTGCACGTTATAAAACTACAAAGCAAAACACTAAATTTGGGTAGTAAAACACTAAAATACTTACTTACCTTTCGGTCCCAAAACGTTTTTCACTTTACTACTTTAAAAATTTGAGCTTGTGTTCACTACACGCCGATGTTTCTTGTCTTTTCCAGTGTGACGACATGAACTAGTGGCAAAAAAGGTCACGTAATCAAGGAAAGGCTTGGGCACAAATTCAGTAGGCTTGACTACTGATTTGAGCCTGGTTTTTAAGCTCCTTCGGAAAGTGATCTCAAAAAAAATTTTCGCTCTCCGCCATCTTTAAAAAGTGCGCAGAGTATCCAGGGTAATAGGTGGTTGGCTCAACTTGGCTACAAAGGGGAAATAAACTGGGCTTAAACGGAAGTTCTAAATCACTTGTCTTTTTGATATGTACCAATAGACAAAGAAACAAACCATATAGCTTTCTGAAACGCGTTTACAAAATTCTACAAAACCCAAAACATAGGAAACTTAAGAAAGAAAAATCTTATGAATGGTTAATTTTTTAAAGTTTTTTCAGTCGTCAATTAGTTGCGAAATTTATTTTTCTCATAACAGAATTTCGCTTGTCCTGAGGGAAAAACGGAATAAAATTGAAACAAGGTTGTGGCAGATGAAAAAATCTTTCTAAGGGCGTGGTCCGTTGAATAACTGCCACCTTTGCAATAAATTAAACTTGGTGTGAAATGGTTGTATGGCACAAAACTTTTCAACCTGACTTTGTTTACTCGCTTGTTGACTTTATGAACGACTCGTCACAATATCGCGACATTGATATCTGTTGTCATTAGGCCAGCCTCAGTATTGGCCATCTGGCGCAAAAACCAGCCTTGTCCTTCTATTTCTGGAAACAAGGCATCCTCGCCGCGGCCAGATCTTCGCAACGATCCCAGTAATTTTTGCAGGTAACTCTATTATCTTTTTAGAGGGTCTCAATGGGTCTAAGCCGCTAAGTCACACTGAGTAGTGCAATCAGCGAACATTTTAACAGTTCATGACGCCAGTGTAGGTTTTTCACCAAGCCAATTTAAGGAGACATCTTTATACAACCGGACTACCCTTAAATGAGAGTCTCAACGGGGTGGGCTTTTACGGCTTACGGGTTTGATGTTAGCCAATTTACTTCTAAAGGTTTATATCTCTCCACCGTAGTCATCAGAAATTTTTTAAATGTTAACTTAAATGTTAACGGTTAAAATTAGTCAATTGTCTCGCCTAATTGCTAATTTTGGCCGTTTTACGGCTAAAGGTTAACCCAGTTGAGCTGACTCTTACATAACAAGTTCAGTGCCATTTTCTTACAGAAAAGGCAAACAAGTATGCGATTATTTGTGCAAGCAGAATAACCTTCATTGGACTTTCACTGATTACTCACTTAATAAACTCGTATGCAAATTAATAGTGTCGATTTACCAGTTAAAGCCTACCACACTCGGTGCAACGTTTAATTTTTCAATTCGTATTTCACAAAAATACCCCCAGCACCTACAAAAGGGCAGTGCAGAATATATCATCTCCTCTCAACACGTTCGTTACGCTTCTTACTCCATCTTCTATGGTCTCTCTTTATTTTTTTACCGTGATTTACACTGATTAAAGAATTTATTTTTTGCAGATTGCCGTTTTCTGTGTATCGTATTTGGGTTTTAATTACCTGTGAGTGTTTGTATGTTTCATTAGTTGCGTTGTGTACTTGAAGTTGATTTTTACATCATTTTGTATTGTTACTTAATTTATGTCCAGTAATACGTAATTATTTGCATAAATTTAGTCCTGTGGATCAATATTTGTGTCCCCTCTTTAGAACCAGCCTCGTCGTTTTTAAATCCTTCTAGAAAAAATTTCATTATTTTTAGTTTATTCATAAGTTTTTGTTCTCTTTGTTGTATTTTTCCGACTCAAGTTTCGTAGAACAAACCAAAGGCTTTGGACATTCCTCAGCGCATTCATTTTTTTTTCCTTCTGTATTCAGTTTTTATATTTAATTAGGTAGGTACACCACCTG